GCAATACACTTAATTTCGACAGTCACTTTCACTTAAATACACGCTATAATTAACAGTGAACGATTCACGCACTTTACTTACGACTTAACTCGATTATCTGTCTCTATCTCTTCAATCTGCAATTATTCTTATCTCTGCCGTCATTTCTCGCCAGTCTTATATATACGAAATAGAGGGCGTCTGAAAAAAAACTCGAGGCTTCATGAACAGACATGATCTTTCTAGAATCTCATGGCGTGTTACTAGCGTTAGGTGACTTCCGCTGTCGTAACAGTATGTTTTCGCCATCTTTAGTAATGTATAATTTTGCATTTAGTCTCTATACCATTTTGGCATAAACACATGGTACATAAAAACAGTTAAGTTGGTTTGATCTAGCTACCTGTACATCCTGTTTATTTCTTACACATAATAAAAGTCAACTGGTTTTCAATATCAGATTATTCTCTAAGTTTCCTGTTTGATTTATCTAATACTTGTCATGGAGGAAATCAGTTCACAGTTGATAATACCACATTGTGACTGTTTGCTCTATACCTGGTGATACTCTGAAACGAGCCTAGTTCAACAGAAATTTGGGACTTTTCATCAGGTTGATCTAACCTATGATGAAGTCTTCCTTTAAGTTAAGCAGTTAGCTTTTCTTTTACTGATATACACTAAAGATGATCACAGTGAAATGACTATCTTTTTTAAATTCTACAAACCACATTACTGATTCCTTTGCCTACAGTGAAAGGCCGTTCCTATCATCAGATATACATAACTTTAGATGGTGCACGATTTTTCACGAGTTGTTTAAAGATAGCACATTTTTCACTTTTAATTTTAACACGTTCACACGTGCTTTGTCTATTTTGCTAGTTATCTATTCCAAGTTAATTTTTTTGTGTGTTTGTAATTGAAAATGACCAAACTAGTGATTGAAAAACTGTACATGTTCTAATATATATATATTGTTATGCATCTGCTTGTTTGTTTGTTTGTTTCCAGTAGAAATTCTTTCCGAGGATCTTCAGCGATACAAGTTCTTCCTTGATTAAACCAGTTTATTCTTCTTCGATACAAACTTTTAACACACAGAAGTTCCACAATCAGTATGTTTCTCATCATTTTGAACTTAACAACTTTTATAATACACGCTAGAAATCACAGCGATTCACAATCTCGATAATTTCGCTCTCGACGAGTGCAAAACACACACTTTACAGCTCACTAGCTCGAAACTAACAGAATCATAAATTAAACTGAACTCAAAGTAATTACTGTTCTCTCTTCATTCATACCCGCTGGCTTTCCCTGCCAGGCTTATCTACTAACAAAGAGGGCATCTCGAACACACTCGGACTTCCCTGATCGTTCAAGAAACTCATCAGCGTCTCGTGACTTCCGCTGTCGTTTGAACTTGAACTACAGGTAATTAGATATTTCACTATTAGCTATGTATATGCTGAAGAAGAACAAGTCATGCCTGTCAATACTAGTCAGGTTATATGTATGTTTTCTTAGTTCCTTAAACAATTGTGTATTACTGTGCTGTTATTGCATTTTTGTTTCAGTACTGCTGTTTTTACTGTTAATAGTTTCCTTGTATTACGAAAGATGGCAGGAGTTCCTAAGAGGCTCAAAATATATTTTATAAAATAAAAAAAAATGCTGTTCAGAAAATAAGAAAACATAAAATTGG